GGCTGCTGTTAAGTTCTTGTCATTTCTAAGACAGGGGAAACAGCGCAGGAGTTGGTGTGTTTTTATTGCATGATACAGTGAGACAGGACAGGAAAAGAGAACACGTCCCAGTATTACAGCAAACATTGTTGCAGAAAGCTAAATATTAAGCAAATGCTGCATAATATATACAATTAAGAAAATGTAGGCAAGGCCTTTCTTGAACTGACTTGTTACTTAGCATTCAACAACTCACTGCCAAATCAAAAATACAATTACTGAGATCCCACTGCAAAAGAAAAGTGTAGTTCAACTTTCTGGCAAAGCTCAAAGCTCAATTACCCTGTAGCAAATCAATCAAATGTGTGTGCAGCAAGCAATGAAATAGTACAGATGTCACCTCACTGCTTTCAGCTGAACATGGTTTTTCTTCTTTTTAAAAATCAGCAAGTAGCACTAGGAAATATTTACAAAGTTCACATTATGCAGAAGATAAAAAGGAATCTATCAGTGTGACGTAGAGCAGCAGTGAAGTGGTCAGGGCATACGAAACAACAAATAATGAACATTCATCGCTAGTAACCGCGTGCGATGATTTGGTATTTTATAGACACCGAGATTCATGGTACCAGTTTAACATTGTATCCGCCGCATTTCAATAGCTCCAAGTCGGGCACAGGGAGGCAATCGTGCATCGCACCACGTGCAAACACGTCGGCCAGTGCTGACGGATGCATGGTCAGGACACTGAAGGTGCCACAGCGAATGCCCCTGAGGCGAACACAGAGCGTTCTGTTTGGACGGCGCTGGTCCGAGCCACGCAGATAGAAGCTTACCGGGGGGAGCAAGGTGCTGCAATATGAGTGTGACGGCTTGGAAAGTCACACGCACCTTGTTGCTTCAAGTGACTCTTTTTGCACTTTTGTTATGACCAGTACAAAAGTGCACTGGTGTTCACGAAACGCAAAGATCCGTAGCTCCGTACCTCTTAGCGGGTTCGCTAACATCTTCAACAGACTCCAGGCGTGTGATAAGCCAAGGAAAAATACCAGGGACATATTATCCTGTTTACCAGCAGCTGAGCAAGAAAGGATGACGCAAAGTTTGTCCTGACCGGAATGGAGATCTTTAGTTTCCAGCAGGGATCATTACGCAAGGTTAGTTTTGGTGTCTTTTTTTTTTTTCATCATTCCCAGACCTGATGCCAAATTTTGAAATCACTTTCTTTTAAATGGCTGAAGCCAACTTTGAAATTTGAGCCTGAATTTTGAAAGAATATTAAGTCTACCTGCAAACAAAATTATATTTACATAGTTATCAAAACAATTTATTCAATGCAACTGATTAAGTACAGATAACAATGGAAATTAAAACGCCACTTAAATACAAAGGTAATTCTCACTGTTGTTGTGTAGAATGGATATCTTGAAACATTAGAGGCATCTTAAAAAATTTTATTTAGCATATCCAAAAACAAATGTTACAAAAAATTTCTATAAACATAGGCAAAAATGTTTAAATAGGATAATTTAATGTAAACCAAACCCCTTTAAAATACGCAATACTGTAATCAGAGGTTATTTACATCCAGTAAAGACAGAACATCCTTCACTAATGCTAAATATCACCTAAGCAAGTAATTAATTTCCATAATTTCTTAAAACAGCAATATTTATATTTAAGTTAATTTTAGTAGATAAATCATCTCAGTCCTAATACAAGATGAAATTCAATGATACATTCAGAAGTAAAAAAGGCAGTATCCTGATTATTCATGTCATCAGTCAAGACAGTACTGCATTCAGACTTGGAAAACCTTTAGACAGGTACAACTGTAAGTTCATAATATTTATTGCATGACAATGCAATTACTGGATAGATTAAAAAAACCTAGGTGACCCTCCCCAAAAAGCTGTATAAAAACCCAGTACAAATGAAATTTTATTTTTCAATCAGTTTAGAAAAGCTAGCCACAAGACTAAGCTATTTTCCCACATTTCACAAAACAAAACAAAGTAATTCGTAATTTGACGTTATTTCAACATGAAGAAAGCTGTTCATGTCTTAGAGGAAATGCATTTGGATAACTGTCCCATGCAAGTTTTGCTTCATTATGAAATTTATTCACCAAGACGTAAGTTTATAGCCCACAATGGCTTTCATACTCATATACATGGAAAAGGCATAGCCCAATAAATTTAACTCATAGATCATTTCAGATATTTGGTTGTGGCTTTTTTGGAAAGACAAGCATCACTTTTGCATTGCACATAAAAGTATCTACAGGACAGAGCAACATATTCAACTTAGGAGCCAGAAACATAAAGCTGTTAAAAGTGGTAGTGGAATACAGAGTAATAAAAAAGGAGGAAAAAAAAAAAAAAGCCAGCTCATCTCTAATGAGTTCAGGGGATCATCCCCATGTTCAGGGGATGATGACAGCTGCTGAATGACCTAATGTGAAATGGGTTTCCTACAGCAAAGTCTTACATCCAAACAAAAAAAAGTTACTGCTAAAACTACCAGCTGTGCTGGCAGGCACAGGAGATGCCAATATGGCATGGACATTGAAATACCAGCTCTTTTTGAGGTGGTTCCTGCATGTTGAGATGAGGCACTTTTTTTTGGTAACGTCTGCCTAAAGCAGTATATTAACTGTTGCTCGGTATAAAAGGAGCTTTAACTTCTATAAGTGACAATTCAGGACACACAAGAGCTAAAACCACTTCAAAAGAAAAGGTCAGACAGTCCAAAAACAAGACCCAGGCAATTCTTACCACAAGTCTCCAGAACATATTGTACTTATCTGCCCAACATCTATTATAAATAAGAGTTATTTTTTTGACAACAGTTTGGCCTGGAGTTCATCCATTAACTGTAATACCACTTGCCTTAGCATCTGAAGACACCCAGAAGACAACTTAGGCAACCTACTCTTTTCCAAGAATGACAACATAAAATTAATCATAAAATCCTACTTCATTTGTCAATGCATTATATGAAATTCTTACAGAAGTGTGCATATACACACCCATGTATGACCATACATTTCAGCAGCTTTCTGTAAAATTCCTTAGGGAAAAGATGAGCCAAGCCCCCATGAGATGGTAGACACCAGCACATCTCAGACATTAAGAGTGATTTCAGAGGGATGGCACTGGCATTTCATTTGGGGTCTTCGGAACAAGATGCAGTTTGGGTTTCTGCTGTAAGAAAGCCAACATAACACAGTAGTCCTTCAGGGCTAAATACATTTTAGTTGGTGCTAGCTGGACTAGTAGAACACAGAACAATACTAAAGATAATGCCATGCTACCTTGGTGTGGGGGGAAAGAAAACTGAAGTGAATATTCACAAGCTAAACTGAGCAATGAACCTTTAAATCAAGCTGGGGAAAAAAAAAAAGCCACGCTACAGCTTACACCACCTAAACTATCGTGTCTAAACTAGGTGGTTGAAATTCTGTAAAAGCCTCCATTCTAACTTGCGTTAAGTCTGACAGAAATCCACATCTCTTCAGCCTCAAAAAGTCACTCCAGACTAATGCCTGGGGCTATGCCTGTGCTGTGTCCTTAGAAATACAACACTGTTGCTCCTCAAGGTTCTGCCCTGCATCAGGTGGGCCCCACGGCTCATAGCTGGAGAGAGGGGAGCCAGGCTGGCCACACAACTTCTGGAGCCAGCCTGGACTAACATGCTTCCCTGCACCTCTTACTCCAATGAGCATTTGCAACCTAAGAGCTGTGAAAAAGAAGTCTTGTGTATGCTGAGAAGGGAGTGCGCTCTATGAATTCATGTCATGGATAAAGCACTGCTCTGTTCTTAGAAATAATGAAAAATGGAAATAAATCTATTTCATTATAACATATTGTTAACTTTTGCAACAGAAGCACCTGGTTGGAATGCATAAGCAATAAATATATTTATTGTTGAAAAAAAAAATCTGTATTCTCTGCAAAGGACTTCCCTAGCCACCAATACAAGGTGCACACATGGTACGTGTAAGTAGTATGCAAGAGGCAAGAGATTTGAGGAAGGGATTTTTTATTTCATTTTTTGGGGGAAAAAAAAGTCACACACACTGAATGACTGCTTTGCTTTTTTTTTCCCTTTTAAAAAGGAAAACAATACCTTTGGGTTTATCTGTTTGTGGATAACATTCTGGTCCCAGTGAAAACTATAGTAGGAAGGCTACGATCAGGATTTTATCCACTCTTGAGTATTTCAGTATTTCCCTATTTACCACTGCATGAACTTTCAAGTTCTAAAGTTAACATATGCACACTTCTCACTTCTAGAATACACAAGTAAAAACAGATAGGAAAACAGAGAAGAAAGGCAGAACACAGACAAAAAAAGTACACTATTAAACTCACTAATTAGTATCTTGAATTGTTAGCTTCTAAACATTTACAGCATTTTGAGTTGTAACAGAAAAAGCTTTAGAATACACCTCTTCTGCTAAGTCTGAAATTATTGCTATTATGCCAGCATACTCTTAATGAGGTACTGGTTTGAACACAAAGGCATACTGCTTTCAGCCTTCCAGGGACCCAGGATAGGGTGCAGCATGTTAACAAAAATCCAAGTGAGAAAAAGGAACCAACCAGACAAGAAGGCAACACTACAAAATCAGTCCCGTTTAGTGTAAATAACCATCTACAATGTTGCTTAAGGAATCCCTGTTTCAGGCAATTCCGACAGTCTGCAGCAAGAAAGAAGAGGGGGAATTCAACAAATCTTGTAGGGAATGTGGACAACGTTTGGAATAAAACAAGTGACATCCCACAAAGCAGAGGTACTTTTGAGAAGTATGACAGAGCACCACATTTGTATCTGTACTACACTCTTAATACAGATTCTGTATCTTTGAAGACCTGCTGTAGGGGAAAAAAAATTCCCAAACCCAAAGAACAAGTGAATCTAACCCAAAAGTGAAATTCATTGTACAAGTCCATTAAATTAGAGAAATGCATAATAAGCCAAGATAAAGTGCTACAAAATGATTAGTAGTTTTTAAAAAGTCCATCGCATTCTTCTTGCTTTACTTCGTACTGGTGACAATAGGAGACAGTGCAATTGCACCGGCTGAACTGGAATTCACAATGTCTTCGTATTGCGGGGGTGGATCTAAATGTTGTTCTGTTTCACTTCTTCTCATACTGATTTCACCAGTGGCTTCCTCATATGAAGGAGGAGGATCACAGTTTGAGAGCCTTGTGGATATTGAGTCTGACTGTCCATCCGTATAGCTCAGACCTCCTGGGGAGAACCCACTGACTTCATACATTTCCTCCTGTGGGGAATGAACAATGCTGAGAGGCGGCGGAAGAGGACCTCTGCCATCAGCCACAGCACCATCACCCATCGCTTCGTGGGCTCCCCTATGTGCGTACACTGACTGTCTACGCATTTTCTTTTTAAACAGGCATCTCCATATGACAAAAATGACAATGAGGATAACAAAAAGGCCAATGATTAATGGAAATGCAAGGTAAAATGAATACCAGGTATGTCCTGTGTTACTTTCTCCCTGAAGTCCATTTTTGTAGACTTTCCAGAACTCCTTCTAGAAGAGCAAGACAGGATAAGTCAGAAACTATGAGACAGTTAAAAAAAATAATCACTGTAATCAAGTTGTTTTAAATGAATGAGAAAAAAAGGCATTTCAAACACTGATGATTAAAATGAGAACTGGTATGGATAAGCACACGCATTCAACTTTCAAATTTTCTTCTGATGTGATTAGTGATACAAAAGGGGGTTTGTTTTTTAAAAATAACTCCTCACTGCTTTTAAGATTCCTATATCCGCACTTAATATCTACAAACGTGCAGCACAGACAGAACCAGGTAAAAAAAATAAAAAAATAAATCTAAGTAGCATTGCACATCAGCCATCTGGTAGATCAAAAATTTTCAGCACCACTCAAGGTAAAAGTTAGGGGTTGGTTTGTTTTTAAAATTGTAATTATATATTAATACAATTTGACAGGGAAATATTGTTTTGGAATGACAGAGCATTTTGGCAAACCACAACCGTGTTGTACTGCCATCTCATAATTTAGACTTCCCTCACCCTCTGGCTTATAAAGCAATTGTTGTCAGCTTATTTTGAGTTGATTCAGATTCTCTGTTTATAGTTAAAAATAGCTCCAGTACTATGAGAATATCACATTGCTTATTATATTCTAGAAATTTTGACAACACAGCTACAGATAAATGGAACAGAAAGTGAAAAGTGAAACTATGAACAACTGAAAACAAAGATGAAGAGGTACACCTCTTTGCTATACTCTTTGCTATATTAATATGCACAAGCAGGAGCACAAAGATCACATCACCATCCAATTTTCTCTGCAGTGAATGCTATGAAAAAACAGTACAAAGAAAAGCATACCCTGCCTCAAAAAAGTAGTCATCCTCACCTGTAATGTAAGATCTCTCGTACTAAGAAACACTTCCACTGTGTTTTATAGTCATGTATAATTTAAGAAAAAAAATAATTAAAAAAGACACTCCCCCAAATCCATGCAGGAAACTGAACACTTCAGTTTTCTTTAAAAATGCAGAGATCTGACCCATTTATACTCATGCCAGCATCTATTCTAAATGATAGCACACATCTCACATGCAAGTATTTATAAATAGTCCCCAGGTCAAACTGATACTGTCATTGCTCACTTGTTAGTAAATGATGTATTCAGGTCACAGCCTGACTGACTTTGTGCACAGACAAATCAGACCCATCATTTTTTTTTAGTTCAGGACTGCTGTCACCTGATCACCATCAAACAGATAATGCCACCAAACTGATCTCAGAGGCAGCTTGAGTCCAGAAGTAGCATGGCCCCTCTAGTGTGGAGGCTAAGCTTGCCCTGTGCAAAGCCAGGACCAGGACACAATGGGCAGATCACATGCTCACAATCCTCTGGATCACAATTTACTAAAGTTAAGAGCAATGCCATGTGCATGAAACAACTGGCTATCCTGCAGATTTTCTTTTTTAAAAGATAAATGCAGTGGTTGTTCTTACCCCTATACTCAATGCAAGTTCCAAAAAAGAAGAAAAAAGTCTTAATTCCTACAGCAATCCAGGATCAGATATTTTTCCTAAATTCCATGGCTTGACATGACAAGCAGTTCATCACAGTGCCCCTCTCTGATGTGAACCCAGATCCAAATAATCTACGCTAAGTCAGGTAGCATTACAAAGTAAGCAAGTCTTGGAAGATGGACTAATCTCTCTAAATACTTCTCTACAAGGGCCTTCCTTGATGCATTGTTCCCCAGTGAACCCCAGATCAACTTTGCTGACTTTAGAAAAACATATTTGAGAGGGGAATTAACATTAAAAAATTACATTAGTTGTACAACTGAGGACTTTTGGGATCTCTGCACGATAAAAACTGACAAAACCAAACACTTCACCTCTCCTCACCAGATTACCATGCAATTAAGAAGATCTGTTACCTATTAACTTTCTAACTGGTTTGAATATAGCTAACTAGATTCTTTAGTGGAATAATCAATCATAGAACAGTTTGGGTTGGAAGGGACCTCAAAGACCATCTAGTTCCAACCCCCCATGCCATGGGCAGGGACACCCTCCACTAGACCACGTTGCCCAAAGCCCCGTCCAACCTGGCCTTGAACACTTCCAGGGATGGGGCATCCACAGCTTCTCTGGGCAACCTGTTCCAGTGCCTCACCACCCTCACAGGGAAGAATTTCTTCCCAATATCTAATCTAAATCGACCCTCCTTCAGCTTGAAGCTACTACCCCTTATCCTATCACTACACTCCCTGATAAACAGTCCCTCTCCAGCTTTTTTGTAGGCCCCCTTTAGGTACTGGAAGGAAAAAATAAATATATGGTTGACTGAAAAAGCAGACAAGGATTCATTAAGATTATTAAATGCTACTGCCTGTACTGGAACCAAACTTCCCACTTCACTGTTCTGCTGCCTCAATAGCAGCAAAGGAATCAAAAACACTATAATGTTTGTTTATGAGGGCAAAGTTGCAAAGATTTACTCCAAGCCATCCAATACACTGCGCAAGGATGTGTCATTTTAAACACTCTGTGGAAGAAAAGGTAGTTCTGATAAAAAAGAAGAAATCGCACTTTTCCCATAGCAATATATTTTGTGTTGCAGACTGCAGAGAAAATGCACCCTCTCCAATGGAAAGGTAGTAAGTTGTGACTGGTATTTAAGTACAGTTTCCATGTTACTTTTAGCTCAGCTCTATCTGCTGGAGAGAACATCTCTGTACCTTCTTCAAAAAGATGAAATACCAGCATCTCCCCTTGTTACTCTGCAACATGGCAAAGCAGCAGAGAAGCTGTTTTCCCAGAGTGGCAGAAAATTAGTTCAGAATAGGGTGTGTAGCTGTGGGGGATGTTCAAGTTGGTGGTGTGACCAGACAGGTGCATAAAGAGCTTAAGGTAAGAGTTTAAACTGCCTTAAGGATAAAAGTACTTTAGTGTCCACTTTCATTTACGTGCGAGGCAAAGAAAATTCCAAGACAGTTTAGAGACACAGACCCCTGTCAAAATTACGGTGCTTCAGCTCTGATGCTAGCTGCACACAGATGAGAAATACTAAGAAAGAAACATTTGTTTAGTCATTTTAAAAAACCCCTTGCATGGCAAGGGTTCGGTAGTGGAGGGGCTACAAGGGTGGCTTCTGTGAGAAGCTGCTGGAAGCTTCCCCCATGTCCGACAGAGCCAATGCCAGCCAGCTCCAAGACAGATCCGCTGCTGACCAAGGGCGAGCCCATCAACGACAATGGTAGCACCTCTGGGATAACATAGTGAAGAATGAAAAAAACCTCCAAAAACCAAAACCAGGAGCATTTGCAGCCAGAGAGAGGAGCGAGAATATGTGAGAGGAACAACTCTGCAGACACCAAGGTCAGTGCAGAAGGAGGGGCAGGAAAATACTTAGAAAACACATACTGCCACAAAGAACTACTTTTCTGAATGTCCCTTATTGTTTTGGCAAATCCAGTTTGAAATAATCAAAAGGAATTCTCAATGGCATCCCACACAAAGACAGTTATGGCTAATTTGCCAGAATTTTGTTTCCCTTTTATTTCTAATATAGAACAGAGTCAGCATCAGTCAACTGGATGTGAACACTGAATCAAATAAGGGATCCACATGAAAGTTAAGAGACTCGCACACTGCTGAGAATTTCAGCTGAAGCCTTTACTACATTTGGCAGCATCGTCAGCCTCAAATGATTCTTGGTCAATTGTCTGACTTGTTTTAAAGGTGGACTAATAATATGCCAGTCAGAAGACTGCTTGCTATTCAGTAGGCAGAGGATGTGAACAAAGCAATAATGGGAAGTGAGCATACCTGCCACACTGTTTTCTTCTAGTCTGCCCTCAATTTCAGGTGGCAGGAAAAGATTCACCTCTTCTGGTATTTATACGGCATCCATAATTAGACACAGACTGATGCTCAAAGTCTTACTTGATCACATCATTTTAGATCTGGTTTCGAGTTACTTGCTAAGCTTTTCAGTGTTTCGTTTGTTTGTTTTGCTAGAATAGAGCTATACAGAGAACCTTGCAATTTCTGCAATACTTAAAATTTGCAGGAAATTTGAAATACAAACGAAGATGTGTGACTTCTAGCTTTTAAAATCTTCATGGAGTATAATTAAAAAAAAGTTAATGAAAACAAAATTAGTATCAGTGATTCAATCACACCCAGGTACTTTACGCAGTAACCTTTGAACAAATCTCCCAACAACCTTTGACAACTGACCAGTGACCACATACAGTGCTGTCTGCAGGCTGCAGGTACTACAAATAAACAGCTTTACTAGATCAGACCTAGAGTTCACCTAATCCATTACCTTCTTTCTGACAACAATCATTAGACTGCCAAAAGAAGAGTTCAAACATAAGCAGGTAGCGATAGTCTCCCAGCTTCCAAATATTTGCACTTGAACTTTCATTAGCCAAAGCTGACCCCTTTTATTCAATGGTTCCAGATTGATTTATCTTCCATTCATTTATACTGTCGTTCTCTGAACCTATATAAGCTTTTAGGATCCGAGACATCCCGTGGCAAGGCAGTCCACAACTCTATTATCTGTGGTGAGAAAAGATACTTCTATTTGCTTTGAACCCGCACCTTCTAGTTTCTTTTGAGGCCCTCTTAGCTCTCCTGTCAGAAGGATGGCAAGTGACTGACCTCAGTTCAATCTTCATGCTCCTCACAAACATCATCACATATTCCCCGATTTAACTCTTTTCTGATCTATTGTTGTTACACAAGTCTTTTCATATCTTTGGTCAACTGTCACACTTCTCTGGTCCTTCCTCAGCTACTAATTTGCTTTTTAGAAGATAGGGAGATCAGAGCTGTATGTGGCACATTCAAGATGCAGGTGTGCAATGATATAATTACATTCTCTATTTTGATCCCTATTCTTTTCTTCGACCTCTTAGCCCTCAGGATTTTGTTTTGGTTTTGTTTGATTGCTGAGCATTAAATTCAAATTCAGATCTTATTCCTGAGTTCAGTTGAGAGCCAATTATATAGACAATGAATGTTCCCTTCCCCCCCACATGCATTACATTTGTCAACACTGAATTTCATATTCTATTTTATCCACAAAGTCCTGTAAATTCTTCCCTGTTGCCTCTAGCCTTAGTAACAAAATAGAATAATCTTTATAATTAACTTTATCATTTTAAATAATAATTCTGAACCTATCAAAATCCCCAAGCCCACACAATATTAAAGGCATTCAATATTTCCGTGACAGCTATGCACGTACACTTCACATAAACAATGCTAACTTCTAAGAAAACCTCATGCATCAAAAATAACTTGAGGGTACTGCTTGATATTATTTTAATATTACAAATCCGAATGTTGCACACCTCCCCAGAAGACTGCAGGAAAACAAAGAACCAAGTGGACAAGACGAAAAATACAAAGCAAAAGATTACAGAAAACGAAGTTACCATGAGATAAATAAGCTACAGACCCTGTTTGAATTGAAGTCTACCTATACTATGAAATCATTACATCTTTGTTACTCTGAACGTACTGTATCATGATCCTAGTCTACTGCATTCATTTCCTCACCCTGGGACACAGAAGTTAAATCCTACTAAGTGACAGCAAGGATAGATACTGCTGGGGGGGACAATGGACTAAATAAAGCCTAAGTGAACGAGCCTGGCCCATTAACAAGCTAGCAACCACAGAATAAAGCAGCTAGGCAAAAAAGATACAGTAGTAGAAATGACTAACAGGTCAGGAAGCTCCTTCTCCACTGTCACACAAAGGTTGTGGCAAGAGCAGAAATGTAACTATTTACTATTTCCCCAACACCTCTGCAAGGGAAATGCTACCTGCCAAAACACAAAATGGTCCTAAATGGGGGAAAAGAAGCTGAAGTGAGAGGCAGTGTATTTAGGCTATGCTGGAACTTCTCGTGCTACTTAAGCAAAAGCGTTAGAATTTTACACACTATCCTTAATTACACAGTGAGCTAGCATTAGGAATGGCCACACCAAGCCAAGTTTGGGATGTAAAAACCATGTGTGTGCATGCACTTTAAAGCTTCAGAAAGAAGCTTTGAAGAAACACCACACGTCCTACTACTTCAATTTAATAAATCAGAAAGTTCTCACTCTAGCCTTATCTATCTCCTCAGGTATGACCTCCAACAAAAAGATGCTAAGAATTTAAAATGTTCAGTATGCCTTTACACATCGCTATTTTTTGATGCAGAGCTCAGCCACCAAGGAGTGGAATGCATCACGAGTGTAAGATCCCTGTGCCACTTTGCCCATTAACCCGTTGGCCTTACAAATAGAACTTCCCTGTGCAAAACCACACAAGGGATAGAAGCTTTTTCTGAAGGTAAGTTTTGAGTCACATTTTCTAGCACCTGTTTTTCACTTTAGATTTATCCTCAAATTCAGTCCTAATTTCATCCCTGTCTTGAATTAAAAAAAATAAAAAAATTCTTGACTGTATTGCATTAAATAGGTGAGATGCCACAATCAAAAACCTATGTGCTGTTTTTATTTTTTGTGAAGCAATATAAGATATGTTGGGTATGATGTGGAGCTATTGCTTGCAGAGTCATGAGCCCACAAGCTTCTTTTAATTAGAGAGGCAACTGGCTTATGGAACAATTCTGCGTGGCAGTATCTGCTTCACTCCTGTCAAGTTAATGTATCACTGCCCTTGCATAACACAGAGTACCACTGAAATTGCTCTTTCCATGTTTTAGGTCACTGCTGCTTAACAATACTCTTTGGGGGCTCCCAGATTTCTAGCTTGAAGAAGGCCACTAGTCTTTCCTTATTTTCAGACTATTAATAGGCTGGGCACTGAGCACTTCGGCCAGCTACACCAGCACCTGAGATTCAAAGGTGTATTTTAAATGGATAGCTTTTTGAGTTGCTCACTCATTTCACGTGAACATATTCAATAAACAAGTTATTCCAGAAGGAGTGAGATAAGTGATGACTTGTGCCCTATATATTCCCCATAACAGTTCCAATCTCATAATTTCTTTCAAGCAAGACAACTGCATTTATGATATCCAGGTCAGACTTACGTATGTGATGATAGGAGAACCAGTACATATGGTATTTGGGTAAATAGTGCTGACAAACAGATGACAGTTTTGCCCACCTTTTCTTAAGTGGGGGTATTAATTCATGCTCCTTTTCTTCCCAGCTGCCAATTTTCACAATACTTATAAGCATAATTATCTCTGAGACTTCTATCCCCTTCAAATTCAGTTTAACTGGGACACAGGATTCAAAAGTTACTGCTGTGCAGTCTATCTACCTCCAATGTACACCTTATTTGCTTAAAGAAATAGGCCAAAAAGAAAAACAAATCTAATATAATGTTGGAAAACACACAAGCATTCAGCACGCCCCAAAATTTAGTATCAATACACCCCACTCATCCTTAAATTCACACCAAAACATACCGTTTTTTCCTCGTTTTCAAATGCTTCTCTTGCTTCTTCATAGCTACAGATTTCTTCTCTGCATTCATGTTCTATGTCGCCTTGCTTTAATTCTTCCAGAAATGTGTTGGCTCTTGGGTATCTTTTTAACACAGAATTGGCTTGGTCCTCTGTTAAGAACACTGAATAAGAGGAGAGACAACAAAGGTCACTTCTAAAATAGGTATCGAAAACCTCATGCTAGAACAGCTCAAAGAAAATATGCTTTGGAGAAATAAAGATTTTTTTTTTTCAAAGTTCTCCTCTTTATTTAATACAATAAAAGGACTTCCCTAGTTTTATTCACTATTGTAAGTAGTTGAGCCTGTAATTTCAGTAGTTATTGCTTTAATGTCATAAACGTGATGGACTTTAATTCAGCATCACAGTCACATATGCTTAAACAAGACTGAAGCTAGTGCCTAAGAGTGCTCAGAAGAGACAGGCACTTGCTCAGCTCAAGCGATTTCTTAAACTAAGATGACATAGAACAAACAAATCCTGCTTGTGAACATCCAAAAAGATATTTGCAACTGCCTAAGGGCATCACAGCCAGAACGCTCTGAAGTTTTTGATATAAATATTTATGAATGTTACCCAGAGTCATACACTCCAGAAGAGCTGCATTTATCAAAGTTTAAGTCTATAAGTTTTCTTAAGCAACTTTGAAGCAGACTTGCTCCCTTCACTCCAAAAATGTCAACCCTGAAATAGTGACCCTTTTGGGGCCGTGGGGGGAAGTAGCCTCTTTCTATCTTCTTCAATCACACACAAAACCTCACCTTATTCAATGAATCAAATAAAACAAGCCCAAAGTCAACCAATGTTCAAACACAGGTATTCTTTATTTGCTTTCCTTGCTTTTCTGCTCAAGGAAGAGTGCTGGAATCAACGCCTTCCGATGTTTCAGCTCTCCCTCAAACCCCCTGACCCAATGATTTTTACAGTAATACGCAGCAATTGGAACACTCCAAAATCCATCAGACTGAATTACCCAGGAGGAACATCTGCAGTGAACGATGCAGAAATTCTCCAGGTATTTCATTTCAGGTCAGGAAGCAAGAACATCATGTCAGTGCAACATCATTCTTGGGCTCTCACTGCCAGCAAGAGGGGCTAATTATTCAGTGCACTGCCGTACTAATACATTCATACCACTTTCCCGACTTACGCAATAATTTCTGCACTGGCTCATTTACAGCCAGTCTGGGACCACCGACACGCTATGAAGACAAACTCTCACTGTCTGCTGAAGGACAGACACTGACTGGTTTAAGCAATGATTTATCTATAATTTTCTATGAATCAGTTTACTGTGAGGTTGTTGATTTTTTTTCCTTCATCATATGTTTCTGAATTTTAAAAAAGAATGGCAGCAAGTCTACAAAGATGATCACTATGCTTTTCCTTTAGATACATTTTTCAGCAATGAGGCTACTAACATAATTAGGCTGATCTACTTTAATTTCCTTTTTTTCATTCTCTGTGGTATATTTTGTTATAAATAAGACAGTCATTTTCCTTTTGCAAAGGCTTAAATGAAGATTTGAAGATTCAACTCCAAAACACCAGTCACTCCATTCACTTTCAGTTGAATACATGTAGTATGTACATGTACCACACAAATTACACTATTCATCATGTTCCCAGAGGTTCAGTGCATACAACTGTACCTATTGCAATTTTGGTTTTCTACAGCACCACAGGTCAGCACATGGACATCTCCTATTGTGTAAGTTCTCTGACTAAATAACATAGAAATTAATATTCAGAAAAATCTCTTCAAAAAGGAAAGAAAAAAAAAAGGATGGCTTCTTTCCATTTCCCACACAGTTCTCCTGGCTCCCCTCTAGGCCTGAAGAACTTGGGTTTCTTTCCACATGCCTCAGTGATCACCTCAGTGATGAGCTGAAGGACTTGTCCACATCAGGAAGCCAGCCTGCAGCCACACGTAGGGATGGGCTGCCAGTGCTCTACCTACTTCTCACCAA